ATTTTATTGTGAAATTGCTACTCAGATAAATCCTCCCCACTACATCCCTTGGTCCAAATGCACTCTCACAATCCCAGTGGAAGCAATGGGTGCTGTGAGGGTTTCATACAGGAAGGGCATATTCGGATGCACGTGAACTGTCCTGATGGGTGAAGCAGGAACACGCAGACTGCAAGGATGGTCTCCCAGGGACTAAGGAAGGGCTGAAGACTGAAACCTGTTTTGCAAAATTATCTATTTTCAAAGTCATTTTTCACTGATGAAACAGTCTCTTCTTATATTAATCTGCAAACTTTTGCCTCTCTAGCAATGATTTTTTTTAAAGTTTTTTTTTAAAGAGAACTCTCCCAAGATAAACTCTCCAAACTAATTTCCATTAAAATATTAGAAACATTACACTCTCTATAAATAAATCTGCTAATGCCATGAATTGGCAATTTCTATTTAAAGTAAAACTTGATGTAAGCCCCTTTAAAAAGAAAAAGGCTCATCATGACCGTAATTAAGAAATCAGTTCAGGAACTGAAGTTTTGTAAAGGAATTCCAACCTTCAATTTAAAAAAGGAAAAATAAAAGAATTGAAAATTGGAATCTACAGCTGTATTCTATTTAAAAAAGGAAAAATAAAAGAATTGAACATTGGAACCTACAGCTGTATTCTTTTCTTTCAGAGTATTTAAAACACTGGTTTCCTTTAATATAAAATGTTCCAAGCTATTGAACTCCTATTTTTGAACGTTTAACTGTAACACTACAGAGTACTTGCAGTGAACGAACACAATACATTGCAGAAAAGTAGTTTTATTAATAATGTTATTTGCACACCTCCTGGTGCACACCACCTCAGCTGAAGCTGAGGGCTTCAGTTTGTCTGACTTAAGTAAAATTAGAAGATACTGATAAATCATTAAGATACAATCTTTCTTTTCAGATAGGAGTGAGATTTAAAAAAAACAAAAACCAACAACTCCCTTTTAGGCAACCAACAATAAGCATTTTGCCAAATGTATAACCTTTTCAAGTTTCCTTTTTTTCTTTCAGTTCCAAAGGCAGAAACAGACCAGCCATTGGACTGCCTGGCTCTTCAACAAAGATACAATCAGAGTGCTTCCATAAAAAAAGGTTAACTTGTTTCCCAGACAGTCGTCTTCTTTCCTACACATGGGTTGACCTCCGACATTCATAATGTCAGTTCACCTCCTGGCAGCTCTTTACCTGCCAACAACAGCAGCACTGCACTGGAAGAAAAAGCAAGAGAACTTGAAAAGATTGCTAGTTCGGGGAAAATATGTTTTGTTCTTTCCCTGAAGGGAATATCACTGTAATTTTAAGAATGTTAGAGTGGAATCTGAAAAATCGATCGGATGTATCATCATAAATAATTTCCAGCATATGAAACTGTGCCGGTGAAGGGGAAAATATATCAGAGACCTCAATTCCCATCTTACAGTTATTTTTTATGCCAAATACTTTACAGTTAATTATTTACTAGAAAAAGAAAGATGATCATATACTGGTTTAAAACATGAATGACTAAATCTTGTAAACAAGTCCATATTTAGTATAACCATGTTCTAATATACAGCTTTACATAGTAGAAAAGGTCTCCTTTACTCCTATGTGGCATCAAAAATACTACAGACCAGCTGAGACTACCTTCCAGGAAAATCTGAACAAAAGTTTTCCCCTTCCTGTTGATACAAACAAATCCCTAATAAAATCACTACCATTACCTGTGTAAAATTAGCAAACTACAATCCTGTGCTTCCTAGAAAAATGAAATATTGCTGATCCAGGGCCTCCAGCCCATCTGACCTGAGAACTACTTACTCTTGCTTTCAGCCACAAAAGCTCTTTACAGGCTAAGCCAGCAGTCTGTATAACTAACAGTGGTGTGATGCTGCAGTGGCCATATATTGAATGATCCTGGACCACTCTGCATGCTAGGAATCCCCAGGAGCGGTGGCTTACAGCCCGCAATGCCACCCCCCAGGTGCTCTCTCCGACTGTAGGGGCACTCCTGAGGGTCTGTTGACAACAACTATGCAGCCAGAGCATGGGAAGAGATGTATGAACTGATCCTGACATTCCCCTAGCCACAAGGAGAAAATTATATCCAAGTGCTGTTCTGAGGTTTTCCACCTTGGCACTGGCCCAGCTGCCACGGATGGTGTGTCCCCACCTACTCCCTGCTTTCACACCGATCTGTGCAGAAAGACGGAAACTCCTGTCGTTACCCTTCCATTTGCAGGTGTGTAGTTTCACACCAAGACAAAAATATAATAATTACTTTTTGCCTTCCATATTGAGTTATGATGCCGTGTTCTGTTCTATCATTCCACACTGAAACAAGTTCTAACTAATGAGAACAATAACTCTTTCTGTGCCAGATAATAGTTAGCATGCTATGCTTTTAAAGACATATTCTTTTAAAACCACAGATGAGGCAATATAAAAGGAATCCTTTGCGGGCATCTCAGATCTAGTAAATAGCACTATTTGTTCAATAATCTTGCACCTCCGGGAAATGCTGTAAAATATAAATAGATCTTCATGTATTTCTTTATTTCTTCTTCAAAAGGGAAGCAGCTGTGAATGGATTTAACAAGCATTTTAGCCTCCCTTTCAGTTAAAAAGAGCTTATTTGATTTTATTATTCCCAGCTCTCTTTTACAATCATTTCTTTTAGGGCATCTCAGCATTTTCTGCATCTCAGTGCAAGAGGGATCACTGTTTTCAGCTGTTCCTCATAAACAAACTATCATCTTGGTTGCACTTCAATGCACACTCTCCACAGGATTTAATACCTTTCATGAGGAGACTAAAATGGAATGCAGACAATTTTTAAAATGATGGTTTGGGACTAAATCTGGCCTCTGGGCAGCAGCTCCTTTCTTGCTCCCACCCATCTTTGGATCAGAGTAGTAAAGGTGCTTTGCTTTCCCACAGAGCGTTGTAGGCAGCTGTATAATCTACTCCTTTCAGCTTCTTCTCAGCATTTCTGCACTACTTCTTCCCCTGAATGAAAGGGCAGAGGGCCATTGCTGTTTTGCCCTCCTTCCCAGGCCTTGATTATATCTGGGATTCTGACTACTACTGTAGAGATGTAGGTAGAGAAATCAGTACAAGCACTCAGGAAAAACAGCTTTTTTCTTGTTGAATGCTCATTCTGTCCTGCATATTTCCTTACTACAACATTTCCCAATTAGAGGCAATTGCTTCTAGGTCAACAAATTAGTGTTGAGACAGAGGCTGAGTTGCTACTATTAAATCACATGTATCAGGAAAATACGAACCAGCACGATCCAACTTATGTATCAAGAACAGGGAAAACAGTACGTTTGACAAACAATTCACACAAAAATGAAAAAATGCAACAAGTTACCCAACTTCTAGTGATGGATGCTATTTCAGCAGGCTGGATATTTTAAAAAATATTTATCAGAACAAAATTATTAGGACTATTATTACAACATTATTAGGATGCTGCACCTACTAAAATAATACAATAAGGACACTACTAACTACAGTCTTGATAAACAGTTGTTGTTTTCCTGACAAAACCAGAGGCACCTGCCAACTAAAGGAACGATGTTACCCTTTCATTCCCAAGCATGGGAAGCCACTCTTACTGCTGCTGGTTTGAGCCACGTTTGTGTTCCTGGCTTCTTCACCCTAGAGTCAAGGGGTCTGTATTCTTGGAAAGACAGGGATAAGACAAACCATTCAAGACTAGTGAGAAAGTCTTTTTTCTTCTTCTTTTTTTTTTTCCCCCCTCCTTACCAAGCTCCCTGTGAAGGTCTGGAACGGTGAATTATGAAGCTTTTCTACACTGGGACAGAAATGATTTATGGTGAGCAAGACTAGTGGCTCTGATGGAAAACAGCAGAGTGGATATTCTTGTGCTGGGCAACCTGCAAATAGTCCCACTCCCTTCCATATATCCTCATAAGCAAAATGTACCTTGCTTCAGATTCAAACTCCATTTTACGCAAACACTTTGCAGATGAATAGGCTGCGCTTACACCTATTATTCTTCTTCATACTCCTTTTCTGTTTATACCTCCTTAATGGTGTACCGCATCAGGGAGACTTTTCAATTTGGTTTCAGTTACAGTAGTAATGCAGGAAAGAAAAGAAGTGGCAATGTCCACAGCAGAGTAAAACAAATTAAGTACAAAAGCCGCTAGAACAGTAAAAAGCTTGTAGAACAGTAGTCCACTAAGCCAGTGATCTCCAAACTTTTTTGATCTCACACACCTATTAGTGAAAAATTTTTGGGCGTGCACCACCCAATGTTAGTATATTTATTTATAAACCATGTACTTCTAATACTGAAGTTCCAGTATTTTCTTCCCACATCCAAATGG